CGCAAGGTTAGGTTGGTAGGAATGGGGGGGAGGGAGGAGGAGAGCAGGTGACTGGTTGAATGGATGGGCGAGTTGTCAGCAGCGGTCGATGGATGACGGACGACGGACGACGGGGACTAGTTCGAGGCAGCGAGAGCAAGTGACAGACAGTGATGAGGTGTACCTTTGGTATCGTTGGCCCATGCGCTCACGCAGGCCTGGGTGTGTCTGCGCTCGCTGCAGGAGGTGATGGTGCCTGAGGTGGGTGAGTGTGAGGCGCAAGGTAGGCGAGTGGGGCGGTTCTGGCGGGTCAGGCGCAGCGCACCTGTGTGACGGCGGCACCTGGGCACCTGGACTGGGGAACTCGGCGATGTGAGTCCTTCGGGACGAGGCACCACGGACGGGCGAGAATGGTACTGGTTTTGTTTAATAAAAAAAAAAAAGTGAAAAGGAAGAGAGGGGAAGAAACACGGACTCTTCAGAAGCACATGTGGAGGGTCGTGGACTCGAATGTTGGCTTCCCCATCCCCTCGGGCCATAGGGCGGCGACAGGCCATGCCACGACAAGAACTTGAATTATAGGGTGGAGAGAGTTTCTATGGAAAAGTAAGGTAGGCACCTTAATCAGGTAGCTACGTACCTAGGTAGGTAAGTAACCAAGGTTCGAAACGACAGGAACCATCGACCAGGGTCACTTCCAGACATGTGAGTTACCTACTTCCTCCAGCGGGCGAGGTGTCCCATGAGGATGGGGAGGCGAGGTGTCGAGTCTAGGTACGAGCAGGACATGGACAGCCCCCGATGCCCAGTTCACGTTTGTCGTTATCCCGCAAGACCTTATCCTGCCTTGCTGTCTCCGACTGCTTCCCGTCCGCACCCTGCATCCCCCTGGTCCTTGTCCTTGTCCTTGTCGCCGATGTGCTCATTGCTGCTGCCCCCATCGTCGTGTCCCATTCTCCATGTTTCCAAGCAAGCCCCCCCCCCCCCCGCCTCTCCAAAGCGCCAGCCAGCCAAGCCAGCCGCCCAATCACTCACCGTCGTCGATGGATGGGCTCGGAGGCCGTCATCGTGATTGGGCCGACACTTCACGACAGCCGCGCCTCTCCTGGCGACGACCACGTGAGGCCGGCGTCACATCCTAGACGCAATGTGCTGCTACAGTTGCTGTATTGGCGAAGCGAAGTCATACCTCAGCCCATGCCCCACAGGCTACAGGCTGTAGGTCACAGGCTACAGGCCACAGGCGGGCTTCCGTCCGTCGTCTCGTTCCTGCCCAGGCGCGACAGCCTAAGGACCGTCTGTCTGCTGGCCACCAGTGTGCGTGCCTCTGTGAATGCCCTCACCGATCGCTGCGTCACGCTGGCGAGGCAATCTCTTCCTTTCGCCTTCTTCGTGATTCACTCTGCCAGCCCGTACCGCACACCGAGGCGATCCAGCACGCGCCCCATGGCCCTTCTTCGCCTCTACGTTGGTGACATGTGACATAAGGTTCCTGAGAAAGATGGGGTCGCCTGCCTGATGTGGCCAATCGATCCATACACGACTTGGATTCGCGCTTCGTCCGCTGTTCTCGACTTCGTGCGAGGGTCAAGCTGGCTGTCGAAGCTACCTGTCGCTGTCGCTGTGCCAGGGCGTGACTCACCTCATAAGGCAGGCAACGAGGCAGCCCACTGTCGCATCACGGCAGGCTGTCATGCATACAAGACTGTCCAGACACACCAGTTGCATTGGCCTCGAGTGCATTCCACTTTTTTTTCTTTCCCTTCCTGGCTCTATTTGCACGATATGCGAGGCGGCGACTTGCTTGCGACCTCTGTTTGAGGAATTGGGTTTCGCCTGGTCTTCAGGGCTGATCACTTTTGTGAAGAACGGATATCTGTGGCCATGGCCATGTGATAGAACCTTGGCATGCTCGTCTACGGGAAACAATCGACCAAAGGCAAGACCGTGTTTCCTCGGGCAATATTGGCCAGTCCCCATTGATTGGTCGCCCTCGGACTGCCCACACGAGGTGATGCCTGAGCCGAATTTCTCTCGTCGACCGACCCATCCTCTCAAGCTGCGAGTCCGAGGCTACAATCTGGTGGAAGAGAGTTTTGCGTTCTTTTCTCGCAGGATGTTGAATGGTAAAATGTGGCGGCGCAACGGGACAGAACGCCCTGGAAGGTTCGGAGCAGACAGATTCATTCTACAGCGCGACGGCTCGGACGTCGAGGAGACAATGCGAGAACCCGGAAACGTGCTGTGTCCTATAGACTTTGGGCCTTATCGATGATGCTTACGTGTTTGGGCGTGCATCACATTCATGCCTAGCACCTGCCCTCGAGGTTGGGCATGGCAATGTCAGAGTGGGCACCGCGGGCGACATGGAACAACACACGGCGAGGCGGCACAGGCGAGGAGGACCAGACAGATGCTGCTTTCACAGCAACGCCGAGCACAGGAGGACAGCGTGC